TGATTCAGCCTATATGCAGACCACTGGAGAACTACACATCTGCCTCCACATGAACTACAACTACCATAATGCCTTGCGCCAATCAACACCCGCTACAGCTGACAATAATCCGGACACTCACTCACACACACAGCTGAAACTCATTCTCACTTACTACCAGGACTATAAACACAGCGCGTACACAAACACACACAAACACACACACACACACACACACACACACACTCTTCTTTGTTGAGTGTTGGTTTTCTGTAGCATAATGAAGTAGTCGCCTTGTCTTGCCTTGTCGTGTTTTGACCTCTGCTTCTGTTACGTTGCATTCCTGCCTGTCCCCTTTTGCTTGCCTGACTGTTCTGTTTAATAAAGCTGCACATGGATCCTCAACTCCGTTGTCCAGCGTGCCTCAGTTACACCAGTATTTCGAGGTAATATGCTTATGATTTAAATATGCATGATTTCATCGATGTTTACCTTTAAAGCAAGCAGTTGCTTAGAAAAAGCTGTTAAATATAAATTTATAAAGGTGTTTTATAAACAAAACTGTTAATCAGTACTTTGTAAAGAAAAGCATTGCATCTTCTTAAGTGTTAAAAGCAGAGTGAAATGAACTCAATTGAAAGCACACATAATATTCAAGAGCTATTCATGACTTTGTTTCTGTTTTAATCGAATCACTTTAATCAGTGACACATTGTTTTGATGAAATCTGAAGGCAATACACTGATTTTGTTGGATTTACCAAATTGGTTATATGGGCTAAATTTATACAAACAAATTAAGTTGAACATCACCACGTTTAATTTGTTTAAATTCAACCTCTATAATATGTTTGCAACCAATTTAGTAAATTAAATGACTCATTTTTTAGAGTACAAAACAATTTATGCAAAAATAAAATAATTGAGTTCAACGTTTAAAAACATTGTGCTTCAACAAATTCAAAGCTTTATTTTAAAAGACTTAATTAGATGTAAATTATGCAAAATGCTGAATAAATATTCATGAATCTTCTAAACATTGTTTAAAAATGCCTTCTTAGCAAATCCAAAACTTTTGTTGAAATTACACTCTACTCTGTTAAAATAGTTGGGTTAAAAATACCCCAACATTTACCCAAACTATAGGTTACTATAGCACCTTCCAAACTATGGCTTATTTTTTTATTAAATGTAATTTTTTATTCTGGCATTATCTATATATATATATATATATATATATATATATATATATATATATATATATATAACAGTATATTACTATTACTGGTACTACTAAAACTGTTAATCAGTACTTTATAATCTGTAAAGAAAAGCATTGCATCACAGAAAAATAAAAAAGGATTTGCAAAGTGGCTAGATATCAAGACAGTATAAAATAAATTAGGAATTTTTTTATATTTAAAGCAACAAGCAAATAAATATATCTGAGAAGCATATTGGAGAACAGGGACAAAATACATTTATATTTGTTAAACTATTGAAATGTTAAAAATATGTGCTGTCACGTAGTGCAGCTTTAAACCACACTGAACTGAGCTGAACTGAACTGAACTGAAACACTAATAACTGACCTACCCTGATCCAGTTACTATGGCCATCTATGTGAAGCTGCTTTGACACAATCTACATTGTAAAAGCGCTGTACACATAAAGCTGAATTGAATTGAATATGGGTGATTTCCCACGACGGCAACTTGCTGGGGGGTGGCATGAAGAGATGATGCAAAAAAAAGAGAAAGAAACGAGCCCCAGTAAAAGCTTGAGATATAATTTACTTTATGCAAGTGTATTCATTTGTGAGGGAATTTCAGAATAAAGACAGTGGGGGTCATTCTCATTTACTTTACTACTCTATGTCAGGGGTATCCAAACTCGATCCTGGAGAGCCAATGTCCTGGAGAGTTTAGCTCCAACCCTAATCAAACACACCTGAACCAGGCAATCAAGCTCTTACTAGATATACTAGAACAGGAATGTCCAAACTCGGTCCTGGAGGGCCGATGTCCAGCAGCTTTTAGCTCCAACTTACATGTGCCGGAAAACCGTGTGTGTGTTTGTGTTCTCCCAGCGTGCCATTTAAACTAGAACAGCTGTAGCTCATAAAGACTGATAAGTTGGACTGTATATACAGCTCACATTCTCTCACACTTGGCTGAGACTTCTTCACCTGTAACATTACCAAGCGATGTTCCTGTTTAGCCGTGCCTTTTGATCCTTGTCTTGTTAAGTTGTTTATGATATCTTTTGCTCCTGTTTTGCCCATTGCCTGCCTGACCAAGTTGTAAATAAACTGCATTTGGACCCTCAACTCTGTTGTCACCCTGACTCCGTCGCTACACATTCAGTATATGCTCAAATATATTAGCTTTAATTTTATATGGCCCTATTTCAGATTTCTGTATGGTCAATTAAATCCTAAAATTGTGTATTCCTGCCCCTTCTGTTGTTTGATAGAGGTTTTGACGTGGTTACGATCAAACAAATGTGATTTGCATTGCTAAACCGTGAACAAGTGAATGTCAGAACTGATCTAAGATTACTGCCACACTGACCTTTCATCACAAAAACTAAATACATGGAGCGCAATCAGAGGTGTGTGTGTGTGTGTGTGTGTGTGTGTGTGTGTGTGTGTGTGTTCGAGCACTGAAAAACTGTGTTAAAGTGAGTGTTAAAAGCAGAGTTGAAATTAACTCGATTAAAAGCACACATAATATTCAAGAGCTATTCATGATTTTTATTTCTGGTTTTAATCAAATCACTTCTAATTTAATCAGTGTCACAATGTTTTGATAAAATCTGAACGCAATACACTGAGTCGTTGGATTTACCAAATTGGTTATATGGGCTAAATTTATACAAACAAATTAAGTTGAACATCCCCACGTTTAATTTGTTTAAATTCAACCTCTATAAATTGTTTGCAACCAATTTAGTAAATTAAATGACTCATTTTTTAGAGTACAAAACAATTTATGCAGAAATACAATAATTGTATTCAACATTTCAAAACATTGTGCTTCAACAAATTCAACGCTTTATTTTAAAAGACAGTTTAAAAATGTTATGCAAATAAAGCACTTAATTAGGTGTAAATTATGCAAAATGCTTGATTTAAATATTCATGAATCTTCTAAACATTGTTTAAAAGTATCTTCTTAGCAAATCCAAAACTTTTGTTGAAATTACACTCTACTCTGTTAAAATAGATGGGTTAAAAATACCCCAACATATACCCAAACTATAGGTTACTAAAGCACCTTCCAACATATGGGTTATTTTTTTATTAAATGTAATTTTTCATTCTGGTATTACTACTGCTATTATTACAGGTACTACTATTATTACTGTAAATTAATAACATAAAGTATTCATAAATATTGAAAACGCTTTTTTCCATTACATTTTAGTTCCAGACAGTTTTGGTAAAATAAATCGATCACAAACAATGAAGAAACAAAACGAAACACAGACAGCTAACTGTGCAAGCAGAGAAACCCTGTGTTGATGGAGCAGAATATGGAGCTCTGTGTGCTGTAGAGACTGTCCAGCAGCTGCAGCCGGCTTCACTCAGTCTAATACATTTTAACCACATCCAAACACTTCGAAAAGGTGATCTTGGATGGTGAAACGGATATAAAAACACGAAACGGCAGGGTAATTTGACAAATATTGCGTTATGGCTTAAATAAACTTTATAACGCAAAAAAATCACACACATTAACACAGCTGTTCTGTGTAAGTTAAATCAGTTAACTGTTGAAATTTATATATTTAACTCAATTTGAGTTACTAAATAAATAATCAAATAAAGGTTAAAAAATAATCCAACAATGCACCAAATATCTAACCCAACTAGTTGAGTTATCAATAAATAACCTAATAAGGTTAAAAATAACCCAACAATGCACCAAATATGTTAACCACTGGGTTAAATAAATAACTCAACAATTTTTAGACTTTAGGAAGTGCTGGGTTGTTTTAACCCAATGTTGAGTCAAAAATGGACACACCAAAATGTTGATCCCAACTTTGTGTTTGCCCTTATTTGACCCAACATTGGGTTAAAACAACCCAGCAAAATATTTTAGAATGTGTAAGTTGCAAAACTGACACAAAATAAATATTATTATTATTATTATTATTATTATTATTATTATTATTAGTAGTAGTAGTAGTAGTAGTAGTAGTAGTAGTAGTAGTAGTAGTAGTAGTAGTAGTACTAGTAGTAGTATTACAGTGGCGCAGTGGGTAGCACGATTGCCTCACAGCAAGAAGGTTGCTGGTTCGAGCCTTGGCTGGGTCAGTTAGCATTTCTGTGTGGAGTTTGCATGTTCTCCCTGTGTTGGCGCTGGTTTTTTCCAGGTGCTCGGTTTCCTCCACAGTCCAAACACATGAACTAAACTGGCTGTAGTGTATGGGTGTGAATGCAAGAGTGTATGGGTGTTTCCCAGTGTTGGGTTGCGGATGAAAAGGCATCTGCTGCGTAAAACATGGGCTGGATAAGTTGGCGGTTCATTCCGCTGTGGCGACTCCTGATTAATAAAGAGAATAAGCTGAAAATAAAATGAATAAATGAATAACTACAACCTGATTTTAATGTAATTCAGGGTTAAAAAGCCCAGTATTGTGAGTGATTATGATTTACATATGCATCAGTTATTTGATGTTTACCTTTTAAAGCAACCGGGTGTTGAAATAACTGTAAAATATCAACTCATAGGGGTCAAATACTGTATACACAAAACTGTTAATTGGTTCATCATAATCTGACATGAAAAGCATTGCAACAGCTGATCTAAGAATCAATCCTTAGTGCAAAACATTTATGCAGAAATGAAGCCTCTGAACAGACTGTGTTTTCTGTATTTGTGCTGTATTTATTAAAGCATGGGTCAAAGGTTAATTTATATGATGGTAAATGTGCATTAAAAATGTAGAGGGTGCATTTATTAATCATCAAATGCTCAGTAATAAACCCTGCAGGTGTCTTTCTGCTTTCAGGCGCAGAGATGAACCTTTAATTCCCCGGCAAGACAGCAGCGCGGTCTGAGTGGGTGAGTTGTTTACTTTTTAATAAGGCTGTCGTTTTTACCAAGAAGGTGTAAAGTTGTTGAAAGAATTCACCGTGTGGGCGGCATGTATGTTAATGCATGACTCTTTTAGGAGGGTTTTCCTTCATCCCCAAGCCAGAATCACAGCACAGTTTAGCAGCCTTTCCTGGACCACTTTACTACTAGTCTGTTTTCTAGTTTATGGAATTTTAAAGTGTGCTAATATTGAGTTTGAGTAAATGCATCTGAGACCAGAAAACATTGTCATTTTCTCAGAATATAAATTACAATCATGATTTATTTAAATCAATTCAAGATATAAAGGGATAGTTCACCCAAAAATTTAAATTGACTCACTATTCACTCTTTCCCAAGTGAATCCAAAACCTTTATTAGTTTCTTTCTTCTGTTGAATGCAAGATCAGATATTTTGACGGAAGCTGAAATTCTGTAACCATTCACTTCCATGGAAAAACAAGCACTATGGAAGTCAGTGGTTACAGGTTTTCAGTATTTTTCTTGCATCTTCTTTTGTGTTTAACAAAAGAAAGAAACTTATAAATGTTTGAAACAAGGGCGAGTAAATGATGACAGAACTGACATTTTTTTGGGTAAACTGTCCATTACAGGTCTGTAAGCCCCTCCCACTTCCATAATCCAACTATGCTCTGATTGGTCAGCTGGCCAAGTTTGTTTTGATAGGTCTTTCTGTGTCAGAAATGAAACGCCCATTTCAGAGTGTTAGTGTTTCATGGGCAGGCGGGGATTATGCAAATGTTACGTTGATTGTATTGATGTAAATTGGTGGCAGACAAATGATTACTACGTTTTATTACGGTTATTAATTCTTTTATTTAAGAGACAGTGTCTTTATGATGTACATTTTTTGATTAACAACTTTTACATTGACAAATAGCAACATTAAAGACATTATATAAGATATTTTCAAAAACCCATATGACGTGCTGTTTAAAATATTATATTTAAACAAATCAACTGAGTGAATAATTCAACGACTCAATCAAAGGGAGACACTTATTCTTTTTCTAAATTAATTAGTGGTTTAATCAAATCAACTGAATTAATCAATGACTGATACGGTCTTAATAAAATCTGAACACTGTACAAAACAGCCTCATAAAGATTATACTGCTGCGCCACCTACTGGTGTAACTGTGTAACTTGTCAATGGTGCACAGAAAAAGACAACTGAGTTCCTAAACGAACCAGCGCTTTTGACTTAATGATGAATAAATTAACAAATAAATAAATAATATTATAAGACTCATACTGCGCCCCCTACTGGTGTAACTGTTTAACATGTTCAATTATACACACATAAAAACAATTTCTCTTGAGAGTATCTCTATCAAGCACTTTATATTATCAAGTTTTACATTTGAAGGACCGCAGCTTTACAATGATTGTAAAAGATATTTTAAAAAACCCAAATACATGCGGTTTAAAATATGGTAATCTGTTCTGTTCCTGAATGAGTCTGCGTATTTGAACAAATCAACTGAGTGAATAATTCAACGACTCACTCAAAGGGAGACACTGATGCTGTTTCTGAATGAATTAGTTGTTTTAATCGAATAAACTGAATGAATCAATGACTTGTACAGTTTTAAAATGTGAACACAGTACAGCCTCAGGGGTGATGCAGTGGCGCAGTAGGTAGTGCTGTCGCCTCACAGCAAGAAGGTCGCTGGGTCTCTGGTTCGAACCTTGGCTCAGTTGCCGTTTCTGTGTGGAGTTTGCATGTTCTCCCTGCATTCAGGTGGGTTTCCTCCGGGTTTCTTCCACAGTCCAAAAACATGCGGTACAGGTGAATTGGGTAAGCTAAATTGTCTATAGTGTGTGTGTGTGTGTGTGTGTGGATGTTTCCCAGGGATAGGTTGCGGCTGGAAGGGTATCCGCTGCGTAAAAACGTGCTGGATAAGTTGGCGGTTCATTCCGCTGTGGTGACTCTGGATTAATAAAAGCACTAAGCCAACAAGCGAATGAATGAATGAGTACAGCCTAAAAGGCTGTAACGCTGCGCCATCTACTGGTGCAACTGTGTGACTTGTCAAATTCAGTGACGCACGCATAAAGACAATTGAGTTTCTAAACGAACCAGCGCTTTTGACTTAATGATGAATAAATTAACAAATTAATAATATTATAAGACCTACTGGTGTAACAGCATAACATGTTCCATAATGCACACATAAAAACTATTTCTTTATTATGTACTTTTTATTATCAAATTTTACATTGAAGGACAGCTGCATTACAAAGATTATATTAAATATTTTAAAAATACCCATAAACGTGCTGTTTAAAATATATTAATTTGTTCTGTTCCTGAATGAATCTGCGTATTTGAACAAATCAATTGAGTGAATAATTCAACGACTCACTCAAAGGGAGACACTTATTCTGTTTCTGAATGAATTAGTTGTTTCAATTGAATCAACTGAATGAATCAATGAATCGTTCCATCTTAGGGTGCTTTCACACCTGTGAATCGATTCAGTTGTTCCGAAACAGAGATTAAAATCGTTACAGTGTTGCTCTTTGCTCTTGGAGCGGTTCGCTTTCACACTGCAAAGTTTCTAATCGGACCAAAAGAGCTAAAACAAGTCACGTGCGGGGAAACTCTCCTTACATTGGTCAGAGTGTCAGGGTTTATTTTGCAGCGTCCCGCTCAGCTGTCAGGAGAGGTGGTGGTTTGGTGGTGATTGACAGGGTGTGCGCGTGACGTGTCTGAGGAGAGACGCGGTGGGGAGGGGTGAGAAGGGTGCGCGACGATGCCTATTTGAGGACTGGGAGAGAGACGCGAGATTACCGGGAGATCATCACTCGTTTGCGGGCATCCGGAGACTCGTGAAACTTCCCGCCCTACTCATAATTCTCTCTTCATATAGCCGTATGCCTATTACATATCCATAAAACACTGTGATATAACCGCGCTCGGATCGGATCGCTTTCTCACTGCAATCGAACCGCTCCAGGGTTCGTTTCAATCGAGCCAAGACCACCTCATTCAAGCGATCTCGGAGCGATTACTTTGGCGCGGAACAGAGTGCGATTGCCCTGTTCACATATGCCAAACAAACCGCGCTAACTGGGCAAACGAGACACGTTCCGAAACAAAAGTGTAGGTGTGAAAGCACCCTTAATGAAATCTAACCCAGTTCAAAACAGCCTCATAAAGACTGTCATGCTGCACGACCTACTGGTATAACTGTAAAACATCCAATAATACACATAAAAACAATTTAGTTTCTAAATAAGCCTTTTTTTTTGTTAATTAGAAGATTTGCATCACCTACATGACTATTTTAATGATGCAAAAAAGTTAACAATTATATATAGTTTGATCTAATCGCTTTGCTATAAATAAAAATAGTTGCTTTTTTCTAAATTCGATCATAGTATGAACTCAAATAGCATCAAACAATGTTGCACGGTCCAAAATAACATGTTCTTTCAATCTTTTATTACAAAAACACGTTATAATAAGGCTAAGGATATTTATTAATCGTTGTACTAATCCATTATTAAAGTCCAAAGTTAACATTAGTTAATGCACTGTGAGCTAACAAGAACATTTTTATTTTAATTAGCTAACATTAACAAACCAATCGAACACTGTAATGAATGCATTCTACATTATTGGATCATGTTAGCAAACTGATGAAACCCTATTATAAAGCGAGACCCCCAAAAAACTCATTATGAATTGCAAATATTATTTTTATTTAGTGCTAAATTATAATATTAATCACTTAACATCTGTTTTATTCGCATAATGATTGATTTCACATGTCAGTAATGGAGAAATATTCTCTTTCATGCGTTATAAGAGGAAGAATGGCCATGCTGCTGTGTCTGAATCAGCTTTATCATTGTATAAAGTATTATAGAAATAAAGAGCTGAGCTGTAGGCGGATGGTTAAATATGTATATCACAGCTCAGTGCAGACTCACAGATGTGTGTTTCTGAAGAGTCTAAAGAGATCAGCGCTCATTCCCTTTGTTCCGATCGCCCTCTTTTACATGCACACAATCCTCATTTATTAATTCCTCCGTGCTGTCCGTCAGCGCTCGCCAGGCCTTGATGAATATCTAACGATATTTCCTGCACTTTCTTACGGAGATTTGCACATCAAGTTTGCTCTCCTTCTCTTGCCCTGAACGCCAGCGGAAATTAAAACCTGATTTTTGAAGACGAAATGCTTTTATATTCGTACAGTCTAGGATGATTCGAGTGAATCGAAAGTATCAATCAAAACAGAAGCGAGGCTGTGATTTCCGCATCTCCAGATTAGCAAAGCTACAAATCAAAGTAAATCTAAACCGCTCTCTGTCTCTCTCTGTCAGACAGCAGGCGTCAGTCAATGCTTCTTCCCTCATCACTGACTCTCGTTTTAGCTCGCAGATTTCCCATGGAAAATGAATTAATGCAATAATATGGTAACAATCTGCGCTAATAGTCCTCGCTGTGTCTCCTGTTTACATGTGCTTAGTGTAGACAAACGCCTTTTTAATCTAATTGAGCTGCTTCATTAGATCAGAAATCTCCGTGATGACCTTACAGGCGATGTCACATTAACCAGCCGATGCCTTGGTGTAGTTTAAGTGTGTGATGCTGGAGGTTTAGTTTCAACCTCAGGAAAATAGAGATAGCATCATGCATACTAAAGGTGTCGTATTGATTTAATAGGTTTAATTGTTATCTGATATCGACATTGTAGGCATATGTGGCTTGGGTAAGTTCAAAAATTCTCCAGAAATGGTTTTATATGCTCATTTATAACCACTGACAGCACCCCTAGACTGAAAAGGTCACTTTTGACCATATTTGGAATGGTCATGAATATTAATGAGCTCTGCTCTGACACACAGCAGTGATGTACTCTGAAATACTCATGTGCAATATAATCATACTTCATTTGTCAGACATTTGAACTAATTACGAAGAGAAGGAGAGGTTTATTTTAGCTAGAAGGAAA